AAATGAAACACGTTAAAAGCTCGTATGTACATAATCAGGTATGATGAATAGAGAATCAATTGAAAGAATGACTTTTGAAGCTTGTCTTCTATCGAATTGAAGACAACAGAAAAAAAGAAGAAGAAGAAGAGGAAGGTCAAATAGAACAAATCAACTACGTAACTACGTAACTTCTTCTATTAAAGAACGAATATAATTGTTAAGTTTTCTTTTTTTGATTTCATTGGAATTTAAAGAAAATAAAGTGTAGTGTTGAGAAGAGAGAAGTCATTCGCTTTCAAGGATTATTCATTCATTCATTTCGTATCATAAAAAAAAAGAGAGGGGGGAGAGAACTGTATGTATCTCATACATCATTGACTAGTTTTGCTTTTTTTCCTCTTTTTCTTTCTTTCTTCTTTCTTCATTTAATGCCATAGAACATAGACCTTGAATGTGTATGAGTAAAAGATGTTAAATATAGAGCTGTGCTCTGTGTGTGTGCGCTCTGTTTTTCTTCACGTATGCGCTCGATTTTGTTGACGTACGACACGCGCGTATGTCTCGACAGTAGTTGGAGTTGATTTTTTTTTCTTATATATTTTATTTATTTCGACACCGATGATCAGCAAACGAGAGACAGGGAGAAGAAAGGAGGAGAGGAGAGGAGAAGAGAAGAAAAAACGTAAAAAAGAAGAATATAGAACTCCTTTTTTAACGCCGCGAAACGGACGTTGTTTAACTTCCACATCTGATTGAATGTCAAACACGTACATATAATGTACACGTGACAAACTCATCTACAGGTGTTTCGTCATTCTTATAGTTTCATTTTTCTTAGTTTCTCCCTTTCTCTTTGGTCAATGTTTCTCAAAAGTACGTGAGTTCAAACTTTGGACATTTGATTTTGACTTTTTCATCCTAGTTAGCATATGTATGCCATCACAATCTTTCGTTTGCTTACCACACGATATGACTGCACTCTAACCAGTGGGGAGAGATAAACATACTTGCTCACACACACACAGCACAGCTCTATATTTAACATCTTTTACTCATACACATTCAAGGTCTATGTTCTATGGCATTAAATGAAGAAAGAAGAAAGAAAGAAAAAGAGGAAAAAAAGCAAAACTAGTCAATGATGTATGAGATACATACAGTTTCTCTCTTCCTTCTCTTTTTTTATGATACGAAATGAATGAATAATCCTTGAAAGCGAGTGACTTCTCTCATCTCAATACTACACTTTATTTTCTTTAAATTCCAATGAAATCAAAGAAAGAAAACTTAACAATTATATTCGTTCTTTAATAGAAGAAGTTACGTAGTTACGCAGTTGATTTGTTCTATTCGACCTTCCTCTTCTTCTTTTTTTCTGTTGTCTTCAATTCGATAGAAGACAAGCTTCAAAAGTCATTCTTTCAATTGATTCTCTATTCATCATACCTGATTATGTACATATGAGCTTTTAACGTGTTTCATTTGAATTCTTTCGAGAAAAAGAAAACACTAGTCGCAAGTGTCGACGAGATATTTCGATACTTTTCACACATGTAAATGTGCGTAGGGATGATAATCAAAAGTTGAACAGTGAATGCAACGAGTGAGAACTACGATCGATTGATTTGGTGCTGACATGACTCTGTTGCTCACATTTATTGTCGAGTGGTTGCGCCTTTCACTCTCTCTCTCTCTCTCTCGGTTTTTTTTCACGTCCACTATATTTGATTCATTAAAATAGTTTCTCTTGCTATTACTATTCCTACTAGTACTTCGCGTTTGCTTGTCATTATTGATGTGTGAGCAATCGAAGAAGGAAATGAGAAGAGAGAACGATGTTGAAATATGTCACTTGTCTAATTTTAGTTGGTCTCTTTTGACAAGTATATGTGCGCGATTTTAAATCGTACATGATGTATGTGTTCAATCACGCACATCTGTAAAAAATCAAACAAAACACAATTTACCAAGGATAGGAAGAAGTTCGCAATCATTATACACATATACATCGATGATGGCGATGACAGTAGTTCGGTGATCATTGCAATGATAACAAAAGTTGCCCATTTTTCTCCTCTTTACTACAAATGATATGTCGTTTTTCTATTATTTTTTAATGACAAGGTTACTTCCGTTGTTCTCTTGTCAACGATCGTCGATCGGCACATCGATGTGTATGTATATACATATAAGAAAAGAAATCCTCAATTGATTAATTTTTATAGTGGGTTATTGTAGTCGAAGAGCTCGCTTATTGCATCATCTATGCCTTTCGTTTGCTTTTTTTTTCTTTCTTTTTTTCACTCACCTACTCGTTCTCGATATACAATCGCGAGCCATCAAAGCTGACAAGTGAATACAAATCATTCGACGGAACTAGTTCTGCTCATGTACAATTTACTTGCTGGTATTTTTCATAAGCAATAAACAACTTGACATGCTGATTAGTTTTCATATACCTTGTATCATTAGATTGGTTTCTTCTTTATGAGTATATGCAAAAAATATCTAATTGAAAAGAAAAATGTATATGGAGATAACAAAATCGAAATTGGACGTGAGTAAAACAATGAAATTGAAAAGATGAGCGATTACGATAAGTAAACTTTGGCCGTCGATACATATACATGCGTCTGTATCAAATGATTGAAAGTATACGGTGGCTCTAACACTTCAACATATGAGACAAAGAATGAAAAGAAAAGAAATGCTATTATTATTGTTGCTTAATTCTTGTTCGAAAAAGAAAAAGAAACGAACAAGGGAGAATCTACTTTGATTGACGAACTATACTTTAATGGTTTGATGTCTTGTCGATGGTTGTTATCGCTTGAATATATACATACCGAAGTGAATTACACAATCGACGATAGTCTCTTCGAGGAATGTTACCAGACGAACGAAAATATGGCTTTTTCTCTGCTTCATTCAATGAAATATTGAGCTAATTCGATAGAATTAATAGCTGAAGACAAATTACAAGTGGATTTAAATTAATACAAATCTGTTCTAATGAACCATTAACAGACAGACATAGGCATTCGACAAGGTTAGAAGAACGGGCAATATAATCGAGGTACAACCGACATAAGGAAAGATAAGACTTTTGTGGTTCATCAACCATCAAAGAAGATGGATAGATCAAATATTTGTAATTATTTTATTTTCTCTCTGGCGAAGCCTTTTATTGATATGAAGACATCAAATATTCAAGATTCATTTACCCTAAGAATATTAATTAATACATAATGATCTCTTTTGCGGCTCATTTTTTCCCTCTCCTCTTCACTCGTTGACAGGTCAAGGTAATAATAGGCCGCAATGGAAGTCCATCTGGTCTTTCTTCTGTAACACATATGTCGTGTAAAGTATTGCGTGAATGACTATGGCTTGTTTGACTATTCAAGAACATAATCTGCCAAATAGAACTTATTTGGTATTGATCAAGTGTACGAACTAATTAATTAGTTTCTTCGGCAAACGGATAAAAGAAAAGTAGAATGATTTCGTTAGCTCATGAGATTTCCAAGAGAAGAAGCATGATTGATTACTTCTGTAATCTGCACGATTTCAGTTATTATATCCGAAGCAGTTCAGAGATGATATCCGCTTCTTTACTGACATGTACACATGAGAAAGACTGTTCGAATACTTGATTTGTCTCATATTCAAATTCGAAATGTAATATTCGATTTCAACATAGTAATGCTTACATTCATTTCGAACTTGTTTACGTAGTTGAAAGGTCTAATGAATATGAAAATGTGTATGACATAGGGTTTCTATTGTCGAATGGAATTGAATACAGTTCACAAGCGATGTTATTCGATGAATATTAACATATTTGAAAATGTATTGAAAGTTCTTTTGCTTTTATTCGAGAATCAAGCGACATACACTCTCGACTTGCCACCGACGTGAAGTAATTGTTTTGATAAGAAATCTAGACAAGCGAACTAATGTTATTTTTGTCCGGTATTCTATTGTTACAGAGTATTCTAACGAATGCAATCGAGATTTTAGCGTTGAAAATCATAATCTTTCTCACGATTTCATGAATTTATAATTCGCTTGAATTGTCTAGTGAATGTAGTTCATAATATTTAGGAGACATTTGCATATTTTCTTCTATTATTTAAATGCTAATCAATCAATCGAACGCAGTCTACGTGATAACATAGAATTCATCGATTGAGTATCATTTCATTGTCTTCATAAACTCAAAACAAAAGATTTCTCTCAGATTCGATGATGAATGAACGATTTTGTCAGTTCTTCTCTAGAATGATCGTTGTTAATCTATTTTTTCAGTTATTAATTCGGAGAAACGGAGATATCGAAGTGTGAGCACGAGAAAAGAAAACAAACGACGCATTGTCTTGCATAAAAATGAACTTACTCGATACTTAAAGTGAAAACCTCGATCAAATTTGAAGTGTGAAATGACGCATGCGTGCAGGCCTTCCTTCTTCGCAAGAAAAAGACACATTGGATAGAATTATTACTGATTTCCTAATCATTTGATCTACTACTTTCAATTGTCAGAGAAAAATGAATGATTAAAGGAATAATCGATATATTTAGACGAAGTTTTTTGCTCAAGGCTGATTTTACATATGAGTAGCCATCTATTGAGCCAATTGCCGTTAATAAACCAGCGTCCTCTTTCGTTACTTAGAAATAATTTACGCACCGAATAAGAAATCTTTTTGCATTTAATCTACAACACCATCTCATCGTATGCGTACGGTTGACGTCGTTTTTTCATTCATTTCAAAGGAATCGAAGACGATCAAGAAAAAACAACTGTTGAATGCAGTTTTTTGCACTTGAAATCAAAAGACGAATGAAATCCTTATTGATTCGCTCGTTGCCATCATCGCAAATGATTCATGAGTCTCGTAAAAAATTGTGATGCCGAACAATTTTTTTCTCCGTTATATTCTCGATGCGTTTCCTTCGAAACACTGTGAGAACAAGAAAAAGCCATGTTAAAATAACAACATCTTTTGGTTAAAATGAAATCGGCAGAAGTAACATGCGTTCACTTGGATTTGAATATATTTGTTTGTTGTTTTTTTTAATATTTGTAGCCTAGTTTAGGGAATGGTGGAGTTCACAAACCACCACCTTATCCTGTTGAACCGTCCATGGCAATTAACAATCAGCCAGCTCCTCCTGACGCTCGAACAGCCGATCTTGTTTCGTAAGTTATCCATTGAAAATTACCTTTCACCTATTTGATCACCATTAGAGCCGTTCAATATGGATATTATGATCGCGTAGTGGAATTAATTGAGCCTTACCCTTCTCTCGCGTCAACACCAGTAAATGGAAACATAACATTGCTTCACTGGGCAGCGATTAACAATCATGTTGAAATAGCGAAATATCTTATCAGCAAACGAGCAGACGTGAATGCTTTTGGTGGCGAACTGAATTCAACGCCGTTACATTGGGCTATCCGCGATGGTGTGCTCGAAATGGTGGTTTTCCTTTTGTCCCAACAAGCACAGCCATCACTCTTTGATGGTGAAGGTAAATTGTTCACACAAAACAAACAATCGTGGAAATGTTTGCTTTTCGAAATAAGGTTATTCGGCTCTACATCTTGCGAGCATGTTTGGTCATACGGAAATCGTTGCCTATCTAATTGCCAAAGGAGAAAATATAGATCTACTTGATAAACACGGTATGACACCATTAATGCATTCTGTTAGCAGAAGCAGATCTCGTGATCCGACGCAGTTACTAATTCGGTAAACTGAAACATTTTGTTGGAAAAAAACGTCTAATTATGAGAATCCTAGACTTGGTTCTCAAGTTAATTATCAAAATCCAACGAATAAATGTACTCCTCTTCATTATGCAATTATGGCAGTAAATCGAGAAGCAATTCGAATTCTACTGCAATCCGGTGCTCATATCGATATCCGAAATGCTGATGTATGGATCTTACTTTTCTTCTATCGAATAACTACGAACATTGGTTTTTTATTTTAGAATGAAACTGCATACGATGTTGCAAGTCGACAGCCAGAATCTCGTTATTTAACATATCTGCTAACAGAGAATCAACCGTCCAATTCCAATTTACCGAAATATTTGCAATTCAGTAAATCAAGCCGACGCTTAGGAACGAAACTTTCGCCATATTTACTTATTTTCTTCATTGCATTTATATTTCAATGGAATATTTCATTGATTTATAAAGGTGTCCTATGCCTCGCTTTATTTCTTGCAGCCAACGGGTATATGATGTAAGTAAACTCATCTTAAGGAAAAATCCCTCTTGTTTACGTCGACTGCTTTTCCAGGATCTTCTTCGATAACAAAGTCGATCGATATTTACCAATATCTATCGCTCAAGCATCAATCTTCTGGCTATATGTTTGTTATTTCTACTATTTGCTGCCATGTAAACTTCACATACTCATATTCATCTCAGTTAAACCATTCGTCTTGTTGTTTAGACGTACATTTCATCCCATATACAATATTTCCAATAGTTATATGCACTTATCTTTCGTGGAGTAATTACTATCTTGCTGAAAAGTGTGATCCGGGTTTTATCCATGGAAATCGGGATCAAGTGAATCGAGTATGAAATAATTGGAAAATAAAAACCTAAAACTGTGAACTATTTTTTTCAAGACTATTTGTCAACTAGTCGAACAAAATCTCTTTGATTACAGTAATTTTTGCACGGCATGTCTGATACGTCGGCCACTCCGATCAAAACATTGCAAAGAATGTCAAAGATGTGTATCCAAATTTGATCATCATTGTCCAGTAAGTATATGCATTCATAAGTAGAAGGCGTGTCTCATCCCATTTAATCAATCTTGAGGGTGTGTCAAGTGCTGAAACCTTATGTAAACAATTTGAGTAAAAATTTTATTATAATAACTCTTTTTAGTGGATCGATAATTGTGTTGGCGAGAAAAATCTGCGCTACTTTACTGGCTTTCTCTTTTTTACACCCATATGTCTTGCTTTGTATCTCTATGGTGCATACCTATGTAAGTTTTTAACATTAGTTTGGGATTTGTGGACTGAAATTTTCATAATATTTAGACTACCGAGATCATTGCCATTTGTTTTCATCGGAATCGATTTTGCAAGGGCTTTCAGTTGCCTACACTTGTACTCCAGCTGTTCTTTTTTTCACTGGACTTGCGTTCTTGCACATAACTTGGATTAGTGGACTGTGTTTAACTATTCTTTATCAGGTATTTGTCAACTTTCGTTATTGATATTTTTCTGTAGCAGTTTTCATTATACAGATTGCATCTGGCTATACTACAAATGAAAAAATGAACTTCTGGCGTTATAAATATCTTCGATCAGCCACTCGTAGTCCATTCTCATTTGGAATTATACAAAATATGATCGATTTACTCAATCGGTCTATATGTGGTTACGCACCTGTTCTACTTGATTGGTCGCGAATTTATTCACTCGATGATTTCTACCATAGTCTACCAGCACGAATGCGACAGAGAATGAATCTCTCGTCTGTTGCTCCTTCAACAGATTTTTTGAATGTTTAAATAAATGGAATATCCATTTGCTTGTTTGCTTTTCATGTTCCCCTGTTCTAAGCAATGATTGAGATATATTGAATGTGTCATGAATACCATATACCTTGCTTTCCCATCGAAAAAAGCTTTTTGTGATTAATAGACAATGTCGGATATCCGTTCGTTTTCAATTGAATGAAAAGATGACGAAAGCTGAATACGTGTGAAAATGTTTGTTTTGTGTGTCAAGTGTTTTGCGTCCGATGAGTAAGACAGTTTTCATATTTCCTTCAACGTGTGCATGTCATCTTTATTAATTTGTTATTAATATTTTCAAATACGTCCTGATTCATTGCGTCTATTAAAATTGCACACAGTTCATGTATGTAGAGTTGCATTTACACGTAGATGTTTCTTTTGCTTTGATCGAACATAGATGATAAGTTGGGTCATTCGACCGGAACGACTACCATTTCTTTTCTTTTTTTATTTTCTTTCTATCATTTTAGATATTTCATGAGTATGTCTAGTAAACGAACCACCGATAGTAATCTGTCGTCTTCATTTCATGGTAATACGAGACAAATGACGCAAAATTTTCAACATTCAGGATCATGCATTCGGAGACTCGCTCGACGTTGGCCAAACATTCTAACAGATCTTCAGATTACACGTCTAAAAGAACATAAATATGCATCGGAAGGTACAACACTACTTGATCCATACATGCAAATCTTTTGGAAGTGGCTAGTCGAATACTGTCCATTGTGGGTCGCGCCAAACCTGATCACAATCGTTGGCTTAGCAGTAAATATAGGCGCAAGCATTTTTCTGATGATTCTAACAGACGGTGCCAAAGAACAGGTAAAACTATTTATCTTCATTCGAATATACGCAAATGTTCACCTTTAATACAGTGTACACGATGGATGTATTTCCTGACAGGACTCGGCACCTTTATTTATCAATCACTGGACGCAATTGATGGTAAACAAGCACGTCGAACAGATTCGTCAACACCTTTGGGTGAACTGTTCGATCATGGGTGTGATTCGGTTTCAACGGGTAAATTGAATTAGATTTACCGCTCTAGTTAGCTGTATCTTTTTTTCCTCTTCATTAGCCTTTGTTACGATAGCATTTTGCTGTACGATTCAACTGGGTGTTTATCCATGGTTAATGTTTTGGTGTTGCATGTTTTCGTATATTATTTTCTATTGTGCGCATTGGCAAACCTATGTGACCGGAAAACTTCGGTTTGCTAGGTAGATGCTCAGTTATCGCCGCTTTTCTTTTCTCAATCCATTCTTTTGTATTTATCATTTAGTTTTGACTGTACGGAAGCTCAGTTTTTCTTTCTGTTCATTTGCATGGTTACAGCCATTTGGCCTCCGGTGTGGACGAAATCGGTTTGTATCTGAAAGAGTTCGTTTTCTTTTCTAAATATCTTCAACTGATATCAGATCCCAATCATACATATCGAACTACGTGTTTTGGCCGCATTGGCCATGATTATTTCTGGTTTGTGCAATGCAATGAATAATATCCACACTATCTCAAAAGGCGGTTGCGGCCGACATTACTCCACTATCGCTGTACGTATCCATTCTACTTTTAACACACATACTCTCTCGCAATATCTCATTTCTTTTCAAACAAAGGAAACAAGCATAATTTTCCCTGTTTGGCCAATTGGTTTTCTCGTATTTCTTGCATTTATTGCTTCTAACCACACTATATCAAACTCACTTGAAGAACACACCGCCTTACATTTATTATGTTACGGAATTGGTTTTTCCAAAATAACAAATCGAATCATTGTAAATTAATCAACTGTGCGTTTCAAGTTCATCTTTGCTAATCTCGTTCTAGGTCGCGCACATGTCAAAAAGTTCTCTGTACGCTTGGGATTCAGCTTACTACGGTCCCATAGCGTTCTGTGTGAATCAATATTTTGGCTGTTATATTTCTGAGCATAAATTTCTTTGGTTTTTTCTTGTAAGTTGCAAATGATGATGATGAACGATGTTAGCGATGCATTTCGACAACTGCTCTTCATGCAAGAGAGAAAAGAAAAAGACACTTTCTTTTGATTGATTGATGTAGTTCAAATAGCATCGAGGACCATGTATTGGTCAAGGTTAACTAAGATTAACAATACGATTTGATAAAGATTATCATATCTTATTCATTCGAATTTTTTTCTTTGCTTCGTTTAGATTTACAGTCTCGGTGATTTACTTCGATATAATATCAAAGTATGTCAAGAACTATGTGACGCACTAGGCATCCACTGTTTTCGAATCAAACCACCAACAATGGTCAAATCTGACATGTCCCATTAGCAATATCAAAGTCACTCTATTTTTCTTCTCCACATCTCGCATTTTTTTTCGATATCAGAACTGTCAACCTGTGCCTTTGTTGTTCTTTGTCTCGTGGCTTCTTGTTGTGTCATTAGAGATATTACCGTAATATTTAATTTATTATTCTCTTCATGATTTTCACTAAAAGCAGCAAAGCAAAATGGATATTTTTCGATTTATTTTGTTTCGTTTACGGAATAGATGTTTTTAGATTTCGAAAACGACTGATCATGTCAGACGAAAACGAACCCACAACGTTCGAAGAAGCCTATGAACGATATGTCGAATATCGAGCACGTTTCGAACATTTAGAGAACGAATTTGACGAGTATCAACAATCGTCGCTGAATTATGAACAAGAATTAGAAGTGCAATTGAAACAATTAGACAATCAGACACATCGTTATCAGCAAGATCTGTTTGTTGAGCGTACACAAAACGAACAATACCGCGAACGGACGGAACAAACAATAAAACAATTCGACAAACGTTTCGATCAAACTCAGGAGGAGCTAAATGCGTGTAAAAATTTAAACGAAAAGCTGACACATTACATTCGAGAATTAGAGCAAACTAATGACGATCTGGAACGAAGTAAAGAGAGATTGAAAGAGAAGAAGTTGTCCTTTTTCAGACCTTTCTTTTCTTTTCTAGGTAAACGGACATTGTTGGATAGTTTATCAACGTTTGAAACAAGACTTAATCGAGCCTTGGAACAGAACGCTCTGTTAGAAAATGAACTCGACGAGAAACAACAAGTAAAATCAACTTCTTTGTACGCAGATGTGATGACTGCCTGCTCGTTTTGCATTCAATTTTAATAGTTAACTGAAACTGTTCAACGATTACGTGATGAAACTCGAGAATTACGTGAAGAATTGGATGTATTACATAAAACAAATATGGAGAAAATGATGAATGCTAAAGAAACACCCCATGTCAATAGTATTCGGATGAAAACCATCCTATCCGAAGCAGCAGCCACATCAGGAAATTTATCACGAGACTCCAATATACAACAAGGTAAGTCACTCGTTCACCAATGATCAGATGAGCTTGTTGACTGCGTTAAATGATTACTCAGAAGTAGCTTTACCATTCCTATATGTCTAGAGATGCTATCAAACCTCTAGCGATTTACACATTTCTCCGTCATTGTGACTTCGTTTTTCAGAAGAAAATGTCTTCGCTATATATTCTAATGTTTATTTTTCTGTGTAGATGTACCAAATAGTGATCATCCGCATCCGAAAATTACGATTCCCCAAGATTTGAATCGCACTAGTTCAATATCGAGTGATATTCAATCTCCAAAAGGACACGATTCCTACCAAGCAATATCGAATCCCACTCGATTACAATCACTGAAATTAATCAACGAAGCTTTTCGACGTTTTAGTTCGATTGAATCAGCTCTATCCGCCCAACGGAAGCGTTCTCAAATGGCAGCTCCGGCAGCAGCGAATCGATCGCGATTCAATTCAACAGCGAGTAATTCGAACTACAACACAAACAATGAGACGAATGTAGCGCCAACAACGTCTTAGCTGAGTTCTGCTCTGTTTTATTTCTCAGATATAGATGAATTTCTATCTATTTATGTATATGCATATATATATATATATATTTATTGATTAAAAAAGGCTACTTGCCATAATTGTTTTGATCAACAAGAACAGAATTTGTTCATCGTTTTAGGCTCAATTATTGATTAAATTGCTAATTAATAAAAGAAAATAAATTATTCAATCATTAAAAAGAAATATTCTCTATGAATGTCATCGATGTCTGTGGTTTTTCTCATTGCTAATCCTGGATAATATCTTTCATGAAAGCAATATCGTAATCGATCTAATGCGTGATAATAATAAGTGAAGATCAAAGCCATACGAGCTCGCTCGCTCGCTAACGACTTTATTATAGGCGAATCGTCATCGAGCGACATCTATAAAGAAAGTCAAAATCGTATTTGAAAATTTTCTCGTCTTTTTCGATTACTTTCCAGCGAAGTTTTAAGTAAATCTTCGTGGAATAGATAAGAACGAAGTAGAGCGCTACATTCGTCGAAGAATCAATTATAGGATTTAGCGACATACAATATTTGTCTGTTCTTCATCGATTTCCTTTCCTTTTTTCTTTTCCGTATATCAAAACCTTCTTCAGTTTCTGACTAGATAACAATCCGGCGAAAAATAAGTCGGTCAAAAGGATTTGACATTTCGTAAAAAGAAAGTATGCCCCCGACGGGCGGTGTTGTCGATTCAACTATTGTTTCGATGAGACCCATAGATGTAATTCCAACATCGAGACAACCTTCAGCGGGAGCGGGAACAACAACAACAACGACAAATGTGCCAGATGATCGTGAAATTTTCAAAGTAACCCATCTCGAATTCTTCATCTTCACCTCAAAACTATACCGTCGTTGTTTGTAGGCATTGCATGACTGTATGAAAGACGTAGGCAAATTTCGACAATATGTTTATTATATCGGTACATCATGTGATACAACGAAATTACGAAATAAGATACAAAAACTGAAAGAACGACTGAATCGAAGCTTTTTTTATCAACGAGAACTAATAGGAAAAGCCGCATCGGCCACGGCTTCGTATGTACTGGAATTCCTACGAAACTCGACTTGTTTCTCTCTTCTCGTTTAGAATTAAAAGTGATCTAGCTATGGCCAACTTTGAAAAATGTTTGTGTTTCACTTTGGCATCACTGAGCTATTATGAAGATTTGCTTCATAAATTTTCGATACTTCTGTTCTATTTTCCATTAGCTGGCGGAGGTAAGATTTCACGTACATGTCGACATCATTTTGCAAAACGATTTATTTGAAGATCGCACCAATGTTGTTAATTTGGGTTTTGAAGACTCGACAATCAATGCTGATGAAGCCTCATATGAAAATCACGAAGCTGAAGAGAATGAAACAAATCGATACATTGAATTATTAAGGTAAATACTTCGCTATTTTGCAGTTAAATCACTCAAAATAAACAAACAAACATTCTCTTTCGTTCTTCTCTTTGCTAGTCAAATTCAACATGTACAATCACTTCGCGAAGAAATCGAACAAATCGATGTTTATCAATTACGAACACATGCGACATCTTATTCAAAAGAATTTGGTAAATATTATTGTTGTTTTTATCGACATGAATAAGTCGAAACAATCACTATTCTAGTTGAAAATATGCACAAATATACATCTGAGATAACTATGGATAATCTTCAACGACAAGAAAGAAATCGTTATACACTTCGGCGGTATTTTAACGAAGAGCCATCGGGAGCCGTATGTTCTCTGTCGCCGTCGTTGTTGTTGTTGTTGTTACTAAATCGTACTGCATGGTGATTGAATGATATGCATATGCTTTCTATGTCTACTCGTTTGCTTTTCGTGAATGAATGAAAAAGTGAAGTGAATGTGACTGGAGAAGGAGAGGTAATTCAGTTTACTTCGATTTTCTCTAGTTATGTCAAGGTTATTCTAGCATTCCATTTTCCAATGTTTATTTTCTTAAGATGATTTTCTCGAAATTTGTTTTTCTAATTTAGGCCGGAAGATGTTATCAACGATGTAATCGACGAAAGTTTCTTTGTACACTAACAATTGTCTTGTTAGTCTTGGTGATTGTAGCTGTTATTGTGACGGTGATTGTCGCTACAAACAAAGCCTCTTCTGGTGGTAAATAAGAACAAGTTTTTCTACGGTCAGATCAATTCAAAATTGCCGCCCGTTTCGAAAAAAAACAATAACGAATGAATTAGTATTTTAACTGATGAACTTCTATTTTCTCTTTCTATCTCTCTCTCTCTCTGTTCTTTGCTTTATCTATCTGTCTATTTCTATATTTGTGTATATATCTATGTATATCCCGTCCAATGTATTACAAATTGTTTAGTTCGATTTCTAATTTATTTCAAAAGTTGCTTGCTTGTTTTGTATGCATATGAAAGAAACGTATATACATATATTGCTACTTGATGTTTTCTATTGCAGATTTGATCATGATAACATCATCATCATCATCGTCAACAGGAACACCGATGATTATTCCAAATCCCTCCATGAGTAATATATTGGGCAAGAATTATGATGAATCGGTTGTATTAGCATCGAAATATAATCAAGTAAGAGACAATTTTTCTTTGCTGAATGATGGATGATTGAAATACACGTGCTGACTAGACAAGCGTGTTTATTAAGCTTATCAATTTAAGTTTTAATCTTTATTTGACGGATTTCTTTTCCTTTCAAGTGAGAAATCCATATTATTACGGCCAACTAAACTAATCGCCTGGAGCTGTTCTCCTTTCTTTTCCGAAGATTTTTCTCGAAAGTTTCAGCTGAGATCAAACGATATGAGAGATCTGCTGTATTGTTTTATCTCAAGGTCTTTCCCTGTGTCTGATAAGGATTCTGTTTGTAGTTTCTCTGGATTATATTCATCGATGATAATGTAACAGAAACAAATCGAACTGTTCGATAAGCATTCAAAGAGCATAAAACATAAGACAGAAGGTCTGCTGTGACCTCGCGGGAAAAGAAATCTCTGCATGAAAATGTGTTTATATATAGAAACAAATTTGTACTAAAAAGAACCTTCTGCTTTCGTTTAGTCATTACTTGTCGATCGACGACGTCGTATGCCCTATGTCATAGATAGCCAAACAGGTATACGTCAAATGAATTCGATGTTGTTCCGTAAAACATCTGATCGATTACATGTGACACGCTCCGATCAAGTTTGTGCCTATCCTCGACGATACTATCGTCGGCAACAGAAATACAATCCGTATTTATTCTTGTCATCATCGTCTCTGATGCGAAATGCAACGAAAACTGAGACAAGTGAATCAGTGAAAGTATCCGAACAGCAGTCGATAGAAAATAATCATAATGAGATCAAAACTGAGCCGCTAATAAATATGCATGATGAACAAATTCTGCTCCCAACTGATACCATTTCGATGAATAAGATGATTAATCGGCGAACGATAGTGCATTTTGATTGTCCAACTTGCAATCAGAAATTTAAAACGAAAAACCAATTAAACATACATTCGAACATCTGCCGAAGCGAGCTGAAGAACAGGTGATTTACCTTTCAAATACTTGTCACTCTCATTTCGTTTCGGACATCTTTCTAGTGAGCGAATCAATCGTCGACCTTTGGGAAAAAGCGACTCTTTATTGATTTCGTTATTGAAACAAGAAGCAATAGCCGACTCCGCATCGAACCAAATGTTGACATCCACAATAGCCCAACCGATTGTTGCCATTCAACGTGATAAATTTCTTGACGATGCTTTATTAACCGACGCCAATAAGTTTCAACTTAAATTGGACACCGATTTCATTCTAAAGAAACCAAAGCCGAGCAAAAAGACAAGCAATAAAACTCAAGTAAGCGTTACAATTCGAACGTTCGTTAACTATCGCTTAGTTTAGTCGAGTCACTCTCAGGTGAAAATTTGCACAATGTGCGGTGAGGGTGATTTGATTAACGACGAACTAATCCGTTGTTCGACATGTGAAAAGAACATGCATGTATATAAATGTCTCAATTTCGAAACGAATACAATCGTTCAAACAATTAAAACTTATTCATGGCAATGCGTCGATTGTAAGAAATGTATTCAATGCGATAGAGTGGAGCATGATGATGAACTACTCTTTTGTGATCGTTGTGATCGGTAGGAGATTAGAGAGAAAGATTTGTTCATCTGAATCTTTTCTTTTAGAGCTTATCATATGGATTGTTTGAATCCTCCACTAAGTGAACCTCCACCTGGTGAATGGTTTTGTCAATTGTGTATAAAGATTGAACAGTAAAACTCAAGTGATTTTTGTTCTGCTCAACTAGTTCAAACGGGAGAACACGTTTTGATGAATTTATTTAGTTTCGTATTTGTATTTGTGTGCATGTGTATATCTGTTTCTGATGACAATGTGTGATATATTTTGTATTTTTATCCGGTTTTTGAATTAACAGTCCGTATTCGTTGTGTTTTAGTTTTGTTGATTTGTCAGATAGAATAAAACAATTCTTGTTGTTTTTAGATCATTTCTAAATATGATTGAACGATGTTTGTATGTCTTTCCACTATCGGTATGCATTCTTGTTCCACTGGCGTACTTTCTTTCGTGAGTCGATGACTGCCGATGTTAAATCGTTCGAGACGATGGTTTACTTTTAGTTTTCTCGTTGCTGTTCAATTAGGTCACTCGAAATTTGAATTTCCATTTCTAAGGTAGGTAAACGAGCAAGTCCAATGATTACACATGTTTAAAAATTCTATCAAGAAGATGTTAGTCGAACGTGATGATATTTATTTATTTTTCTTTCGTTTCCTAGTCGATCATCAACTGATTCACCGGAGTCGTGCATTTACTCTCAAATAATCAATTTCGCTTCGTTCGTTTGTAAGTTATTTTCGATCGAAAACTCTTCTCCGTGAATGTGTGCGATTTCTCATTTAGTGATCATCACGATTTACATTCGTTATCGGCAAATGTAAATGCAATGTTAAATGAAAATCAGTACAGCTAATCTTTGTGTTTTAGTGCTGAGCTTATCCGAAATAATCCGACATGTGGAAGTAAATATTCACGCGTAAATTTGACATTTCTAATCTTTGGCATGATAAGTGCAGTGAGTATGAGTATTATTTCAAATTTCCCAGTGAGTAACCTCAGGTTTAAGGTATCTTAATCTGCCATTGTCCTTGTTATTTGTAGCATGCTAATGTATTTCCTGTTCGACTATTTGCAACGTATTTAACATTTGTTGCCACTGTTGGGACACTCTTTTGTGAAATGCTTTTATCATTATGGATTCAACCATTGTTATATTCAAGTCGAATAATACCAATTATTCGAGCCATACTTACAGTAATCGCAAGTGCCGCGCTTGTTGCATGTAAGAAAATAGCTCTTGCCATCAGTGCGAAAGATCGATGAGAAATGTCTATTGATTTCAAGTTCCGTTGATTTTGTAATGAGTGAATAGAATTAGATGTCTTCGTTTCGACATGGGATTCAACATTTCCCATCGTTCTAGTCAACAAATGCTTAACGAAATCTTCGCTTTTAGTTGTTATTTGTCAAACAATTACAGTTGTGAAGTTCGATAACGAGCAGAAATTGTGGACGGCAACCAGTCCAGTATGTACTATGAAAGAAAAAAAAATCTTGAATGTCCATTTGAAATCGATTTCGTCTAGGGCTGGACATATCATTTAAGCACGATTATCTCAGCATGGGTTCTGACAAGTTCTGCGCTTGTTTATATATGCACATTAATAATTGATTTTCATCAGATTAAAATCATCTCACCGAAAATTTTTCTTACAAATGACATTATTGATGATCAAGATTAATTGATTTGTGTGTGTGTAGATATGTATATAAGATGATTTGCATTTTTTTGTATATTAATAACAGTGATTTGCCGTTTTTCTTTTCTTCTGTTTTAATCTCTTCTTTGCCTCATGTGCGGGCAAATAAGAAACCATCCGAACGCGTTTCTTCTTCTCATATGCACGAAATACATTTTTTTGTTCAATTATTCATTTCAATATGCTCATACTTGCTCGGTGTTGTCTTGTGTCATATATTTTTCATATCAAATAAATTTCATTGAAACAAGAAGGAGAGACAAAGAGTGAAAAACATTCTATTCGTTGTCACCGTCAAATTTGATTAATGATTTATATATATATATGTGTTCGAATTTTTGTAGATCGGCTCGTATTTAATTAACGCAGTTTATGCTGACAGAATGGGTAAGATCGATGTTGTTGTATTATATATGCATCTTACGTTCGACGAAGGAAATATTTTGTTGAATGTCAGAGTATTTGTTACATTCGAAGATAAGAGCGTTAATTGCTAAACATCAAATTCAGTTTTTTTTTATCAATTTAATGGAACTAGATTCGTTTTCTAGTTCAACTCATCGTTTTTCAAAATGAACTTCACTTTTCTTTTGCTCTAGCATTAGATATCGACACATCGATTGTCAACGATGAGAACAGGAACCGTTGTTAATAATGAAAACTCAACCGACGATATATCATGTACTTCTAATTGAATACGTGATCTGTAAGAAATACATTGTCGGTCTCGTTAGAGAAGAGGAAGAATGGCAACGTCTGTTGACGAGCGAAATGAAAATACGAGAGAGTAATCAAGTTAACTAATGTGTTAAGTCACAGCCAGATATTTGTTTTTCAATGAATGAGAAGATAAAAGTGCGCAACACTGATGATGAGAACATGTTTATGTTCAGTTTGTTTTTCTGGTAGCATGCGGAAGAAATTTTGCTTTTTTACTACCAGCTATTTTTAACTTTCCATTCTCTTTTCAGAATTAAGCACGATCATTTTCAACAAACTACCGCCGTAAGGCTTGTCTATGATGCCTTTTTTTCAAAGGAGTGGCCTTTTCTTTTCTCATTCCGTTGATAATTTCCGTCTAATGAGCACATGCAGCTGACGATCAGTATCTCAAGAGATGAATAGCTAGCAAAAGTGCTGTAGTGAACATGCGCGGTAAATTACTCCGACGAGGGTAATAAGATCAGTGCTTTGCGTGCATCTAGTTTCTCTAGATTGTATGTCATGTTTATTTAAGTTCAACTTCATAAATGTGCTTCAATTGACATAATGTTTACAGAAATATGTAACTGTTCGATCTCAGATAACGACCGATGATGTCGTCATACTATTGATTGATTGTTTGATGACGATAGCAAGGAGGTTTTTTATTTGCCCTCAAACAACAAAATTAACATACCGTGATCATTTGTTCGATTGGCTTAATAGGGTGCGAACAATTAGCACTCCTTTCTGTAAGGGTAAGAAAAAATATGTCTAGTGATAAAAGAGAAGAACCTTTCCAGCATCTTTCGTCGTCGTCATCATCAGCAGCAGCTCTGGTATCAATGCTAAGAAGCAACACGTAAAGTTAATGATGTAAAAAGAATGCTAAAGAACAGTTCGACGTGTTTATACATTTGATTTCTTCGACATTCTGCTGCAACAGTTCTTCTCGTTCTAAACGTCATTCACTAAGAATGTAAAACAGATGCTAACGTTTCTTTCTTTTTCTGCTATTACAACATCTCCACTAGAAATCTAAGAATAATCATGATTCGAGCAACATTCCGATTCTTATGATAATTATCGTCATTATTAAAAGCAGCATGTCTATACATACATCAACACGTAGACTTGTGTGGAATAGAGCGACTATCGTGGCAATTTAGTTCACTCGACTTTCTTTTGTTTGGTTTGCTTTCTCTTTTTATGAATCAACAAGCTTTTCATATTGTTTTCTCGATTAGTCCAGCATGATGTCGTTGTTTCTTTTATCTACAAAGCAACAGGATCCATTTAGAACGAACATATCTAGCAAGAAAATCAAAAAAGAAGAGAAAAAAAATTACCCAAATGGCACGCGTAGTCTTCTCCTGCCACGTCTACCGTCTTTAATTCAATTGACAAAAGCAAATCTAACGATTTTTTTACGACCACACAATTGCACTTTTTTTTGTCGTTTCTTCCCCAAGTCATTCGAAAACGCGCTGTAGAGTTGCTCGCTTGCTAGAGGTTTAAAAATAGATTACAAATAGGAATTCCGCAGCACAATGAAAAAGAAGAAGAAGAAGTAGCATTGACACCAATCTGTGTATGTCTGTGCGTGCCAACATGTGCATGTAGCTTGTCAAAGCCATTCTTGTAGAATAAGAAAAGAGAAATTATATTTTACCATTCTTTCCATTGTTCTATCTAAGCATACTCATATACAATGCCGTTTGAAGACTAAGGCTAGGAGGGTACGAGTAGGGGCTCTATTTTATTACACGACAGATTTATATATTGAGTGTAGAGTGCCTAATCGTCTTATCATTAAAAAAACCTTCATGAATGATGTTCATTCCATAGTCATTTATTTCATTAGAATTTTCTTCATACTCATGGGAGATTTAGTTGTTTTTTTCCTTCCTTCTCCCATGTTCTGTTCGTCCTTTTCTCTTTCACTCTGTCAAAAAAAAGAAACACATCTCGTTCTCTAGTTCTTTCCATTCGATTATTTCCCTTCTTCTCTACATAACGAGCATAAGATAACATACGGTAGTAGTGACAAAATATTGTCATGAACATGCAATCTCACTAGACCGGTTCACCTACACATCCCTATCTACATTTTCAATGTGCGTCCTAATCATACCTATATGCGTTTTCTTTCGATTTAGAATGGTAATTAAACAAACTATGGCATGCCATCCACCTACTATAGGTATCGATAACTCAAATTCCATTATTACGCTTCGATATGACTGATGATATAACGAATGAGAATGAAATAAATGGTGGCAAGTACTTGTCGACAATGAATGGTGAACAGAATAAAGACGAAGAGATTGATGAGAATCACCTGGCAAACCTTCGTTCGTCTTCGAATAGTACAACGTCAACTGTGTCATGTCGATCGTCATCTGTCTCGACAAGTGTCTTGCGAAAACAACAACAAATTAATCGCCGGCGTGCATTTTTCCAAGATGATGTCGTCGGTCGAAGCCTGACGACTCATAATAATAATAATAATAACAATAATACTAATCATTCGTCAACAATCGATGATAATCAGCAAATCTTAACGACAAATAATGATAATTATGAGATAAATCCAGAGGAAAGTTCAACAGTCTTAATAAATCAGCATGAAGAAAATCCAACGAATAAATCATTTAAAAGAAAAGCCGTCTCGTTTAGTACTATGCCATTTGAAAAGAAAGTTGCAGATGGTAAACGATTAATTGTATCATTTTCGCTCTCAATAAGAAATCTTTCTCTGACTTTAGTGTGCGATTGTCTTCGGTACATGCAAGAAGGAAGTGATTTTCTCAAAGTTCGTTCCTACGCTCGACAATTTCGTCGTTTGTATAAACTAAATGAAACGTTAACAGCAATTAGCTGGTATCCAACATCGAAAAAACCATCAAAAGCCATGAGTACAATCTCATTGTAAATCGTTTCATGCCTTTCAATTGTCTTTTCTTCTTAGTCACAATTGATTCTATCAAAGAGATACGATTGGGTAAAACGACTGAACGTCTTCGAGAATACACACATCAGTTTCAAAACGAATCATTTTTCTCAATTATTTACACAAATGGAAATAATCAATATGCTTCACTTGATCTCGTTGCCAGTAGTGCTGACGAAGCCAATATATGGGTGACTGGTTTATCGTGTCTTATTGCTGGACAAGGTTCAGCACCATCACCAGCTGGTAAGAATGAGTCCATCGAATGAGATTATTCTCTCATATATTCTCCAAGGGAAAACCGAAATATCTTGAGATGCACTATTGAGTCATCGCATTAGTAGACTGATTCGGAAATTTGAAAATCTCTTCCTTCCGCTCGGATTGGATCGGATCGTGTAGAAAGCTTAGATTTCAATAAATCTATTTCTATTTGTCACATTTACATGATATTCATACCTGACTAATCAAGGAAATGGAATTTCTATTTGTATGAAAAAAAAAAACTAGATCTTGATTGAACTACGGGCGACGGAAGAGAGCAAAAGGAATGACTTTCGTGTTTGTAAAGATTTTGAGGATCGACAACAAATGCGCGATCGATGGCTACGCGACGCGTTCACAGTTCCTGAACAAATCAATCGAGATGAACAACGCTCGAGTACAAATTCCATGGACGAAGAAGAAGCCATACGACTACTGATAGATTACGGTATATCGGAGGAAAAGGCGAAAGTTCGATTACAGGTAGGCGCAACAACACGCTACAGTTTGATCGGATAATCCTATTTCTAGGAAATTCAATCAAGTAAATCAGAAAGTGCACGTGGATTTTTCACAACAGACGAACTTATTAACGTCTTCAAAGAACTTTCAACCCGACCCGAGATCTATCATCTTCTTGTCAGGTAACAATATCATTGTTGCATTTCATCTATTATTCATGCTTGTTTTCTTTCCGATACAGATATTCCCGTAATCAAGATTTCTTATCGACGGAAGACCTAACATTATTTCTTGAAGCTGAACAAGGCGTAAGGAAAATAAGAAATTCTATTTTTTAACCTTGACACGCTTCTCCTACGTTTCACTAGAACTCCAAAATTACACGTGAAAAATGTGCAGAAATCATCCAAGAATTCGAACCGTCGGCGGAAGCGAAGCTTGCTGGACATTTGGGTATTGATGGTATGTTCAGCAACTGACGACTGAAGTATTCCCTACCCTAATAGAACTTCTTCTATTCAAGGCTTCACAAATTATCTCTTATCACCAGAATGTGATATATTTAATCCACATAATCGAAATGTCTGTCAAGAAATGGACCATCCACTTAATCATTATTTTATAGCATCGTCGCATAATACGTAAGTATAATTCCATTAAGATCTTTTCGATGATCAGAAATCGATCGTCACATAATTGCATCTCTGTCGGCGAGAAGAAAAAGAAGAAACGACTTTCGGTTCATTGGAGAAGTTTCGTATTAGATTGACTTGTTCGCGAAGAAGAGCAAAAATACGCGATTTTGTCTTAATAAACATTTGACATGGAGGGAAATAAGTAGAATATGTCACGCTGCAATCTAATATGCATATAGCCAATGAGTAGAAATGAACATGCTGTGTCCAAAATGACTAATGGATGAGAATCACGCTATCTAATAGTACGAAGAAAGATACTTCGAGAAGAAAAGTACACGCATTAATTTGCATCTATTATCCGAAAGATTCGTAAATACAAAGAAATCACCATGTTATTATTGTTTATGTAGATTTCTCTTAGCTGATCAATTGAAAGGTCCATCAAGTGTTGATGGATTTATCCATGCGTTGATGCGCGGCTGTCGTTGCCTGGAACTTCACTGTTTCGATGGAGCCGACGGTCAGCCAACAATTCACAATGGCACATTAACGACTCGTATACCTGTGAATGAAGTCTTAGAAGCGATTAACAATTATGCTTTCGAAACGTCTAGGTTCGCCAGAGATTTCTGTTCGTCTTCATTTAATTCTCTAACTGTTTTAGTTATCCGTTGATACTCTGTATTGAGTTACAGTGTGCGGTCAGTCAACAAGAACGTTTAGCGCAGTTATTAATTGAAATATTTGGGGATAAAATATTTCTCGATCATCTAACAACTAATGTAAATAGTATATCGAATGAGTATCGACCGCTACCATCACCGAATGATCTACGTGGGAAGATAATCATCAAAGTAAAAGAAGAATTGATCGAATGCTTTGTATTTCATGCTTATTTCAGGGAAAGAAATTGCCGCCATCATTTTCCAACGAGATCAACAAAGAATATGGCGAAATAACTGATGACGAAGATTGCTATGAAGATAACAAAAGACGATCGAAAAAAGTTGGTTTTGTCGACATAGTTGAGTGATGAATTTGTTAATTGATTCGGATTTGTCTAGGATACAAATAGTAAAAGACATCGACGGTTAGCTTTAGCCTTTTCCGATCTTGTTACATTGCTTCGTTCGGCACCCTTTGAAGATTTTGAAACGTCATCGAATGAACGTAAGTCTTAATCTTTGAAAACAGCGCACAGATCGGTAGAGGCAATATTTCGTTTCAGAACAATCTGGTCAAGTTTGTACATTTAGTGAAAATGCAGGTTTACGTTTAGCTACCAGTGATGCCGAAGAATTTGTTAATTATAACAAACGTTTTCTCTCCCGTATATCTCCTGGAACATGGCGTGTTGATTCATCGAACTTGAACCCGCAAGATTTCTGGAATGTGGGTTGTCAGATGGGTTAGTTTCGTTACTTGAATTTTGAATGAGAAGTAACAACCATCAAAATAATTTCTTTTCAAAGAATTCGTATTCGAGAAAAACTATTTAAGGTTATCAATTGTTTTCCTTTCCGAGACAAACCGGTGAATAGATGCTCTTGCTAAATTGCTTATTTGCTTGAGGCTTTTTCCATGTATTTTGATTTGATAAGAATTGATCTTTTTCTCGTCGAAAAGCAAATTGATTTGACAAAATAATGAACGAGCCTCTTTCTAACTTAGTGGCAATGAATTATCAAACTGCTGGAAAATTTATGGATGTCTATTTTGGGCGATTTTTAAGCAATGGTGGTTGTGGCTATGTACTCAAACCAACCTATCTGCGCTACGATAATGCCGCTGCGGCGGCAGCAGCGTCATCATCGATCATTAGTGGAAGACTCTCGACGAATCTTTACTCATCGAATACGCCTCAAATACTTCATATTAAAGTATGAAAACGATAAAACAAGAATAATTTCTTAATTTTGTTTTTTCTTTCTGTTATTCATAAGGTTATTAGTGCGCTACATCTTCCAAAGCCCGAACAAGCAGAATTGAAAGCAAATTCTGTTGATCCGTATGTCGTCGTACAAATATTTGGGGTACCCAGAGATTGTGACGAAGTACGCACCAAAACTGTTTATCATAATTGTAAGTAGCGAGCTTGCTGTTGTGTTGTTCCACAACAATTAATGTTATGATAATATCTTTAGGCGAAAGTCCACAATTCAATGAAGCATTTGAATTCGAAATAGCTTTTCCTGAATTAACACTTGTTCGATTTGTTGTGTTGGATGATGAGTCACTCGATTATGATTTCATCGGACAATATACTTTACCATTCGATTGTATTCAACCAGGTAATGCACTGAATGCGCGATTACTCAGACATAGTAATGGTATCTTTTCTAGGCTATCGACATGTTCATCTGTATACGATTGGTGGTGATCTCATTGCCAACGCTTATCTATTTGTACACATTGTTGTCAATAGCAAATCATTGGCCGTTGTATGTTTAGTTATTTCTTTTCTAATTTCTCTGATCACTCTCGTATGAAAATAGAAACCTCGTCGATCAATGTCTCGTTATCGTCGTTCTCTATTACGACGTAAATTACGTGTTGCAGCATTTCGACCTGTGAATCATCGGCAAATCGATGATCTTTTTAAGTCTGTAGTTCAACCGCTGGAAACCGCATTCGAATATCGGCATGCTGTGGAACAAAGTCTCTGTGAATTGAATGAAATGTGCGGTTTACCTGATATTTCCAATGTCAAACAATGTGTGAGAAAAATTGCTAGTCGATTACAAAAGGCCAATCTCGTTGGTGCTGTAACTATTCGAAATCAATCGGATGTGAGTATTTTTCACCTGAACGAGCCATAACGTAGGAAAATCACACTTTGTCACACTTCCGATCATGAATTTAACTCGGAACAAATACACAAATACATCAGTAGCACTTTTCCTCTCATGACATTGAAGTCAATTCAATTTTGTTTTTTTCTTCCAAGATTCCTATCTTCGAATATTCAACAACATTACCTGAGCTATCCCGTCAGAGCGTCGTCGCTCTTGAAGAAGTAAGTTCCGACGACTTACAACACGAGAAGAAAACGTTGCTTATTTAGGTGATTAATCGATGTCGAGCGCTAATTGATAATGGTAGTGTGATACATAAAAAAGTAGGTCATGTTCATCTCTGCAAAACCGTCTAATTGCCGGCTTTTTTTCTTCGAATTATTGTAGTTATTCAGTGTACAATCCGAAGTATGCGAGTTGAGTAAAGACATTCCAAAATTACTCGAAGGCAACGGTTTACGTGGAAAAAAGTTCACTAAAGCAATTGATAATTTCTCTTATGATCTCGCTTTGTTGCATGGCCAAACAGATTTGTTAAATAAAGCTAAACAAGATGCGATTGTGACCATTCGACAAGTGAGTATCATTGTTCGAAGGAGTTTCTTTTGTTTTCAATCAAAGTGTTATTCTTTGAAAATATGTGATTATTTATTTTGTAATAGATTCTCGAAGCAGCTGAAACAACACATTTATTAGTCCAATCCGAATAACTATTCACAAGAAAGATCAAAAATATAGCAAATTCTGTCTCACATCCGGTGTTTTCTATTTTATTTAATCGAGTCATTTCAGTTCCTGATTTTTCTCTTTGATTTTTTCGTTTTTCAGTAAAATGCTATATATCTCTTGATTGTATACGTGTTTTACCTGTGCTTATTTATCTCTTTCTCTGTCTGTCTCTCTCTCTCTATATATATATACTTGTAAGTGTGTCATCTCCATATGATTATTTTTTCTTTTGTTACAAGAAGAAGATTTGTTTTTTTTTACAAATAAAATATTCTTTAACCAATGATCTAATGAATTCAATACAGCTGTGTATACTGGCAGAACAATCGACTAGGACACCGGAAGAGAAACCATAGTACTCTCATACAAACAGTGGGCTAACATTCTTGCTTTTGTGGATCGTTCTCATTATCATCAATACTAGAGAATATGTAAACGATGGGCACATACACAAGTCTATGTCGGTACCATTTATCGATAGTTGCTTCTCTTTCTCTCTTTCAGCTACTATGTAACCTATCGTTGTTGTTCTTCTTTCTCTCTCTCTCTTTCTTTGAAGTATTTTCCTCTTCTGCTGATATAAATTCCATTACAGAAGGATAACACTATCGAACAGTGCTAGAGAAAGCCTTGTGTTTGTTTGGTCGATGGTTACCATTAGTACGACTCAAAGAAAAAAAAACGAGTTCTTACGCATTTCATCTATCATCAGTAGTAAACGAGTTTATCATATACGAAACAGAACAACTGTCAAAGGTCGACAAGTTTTAGCCACAGGGTGGTGGTGGTGAAAATTTCATACAGATATATATATATTGTATACATATAATAGGATAATCGAATTAAGTTTGATCACCGATGGCCGAACACGAAGAACAAGAACATCACCACCCTCATCGAACAAAGGCCTCGGCGAATGTAAGATCATCAAGTAATGGATCGATATCGCAGGTTAATGTGAACGTGTCCGATCTCGATGGAATCTTTAATTTGAATGATAATCCGCCGACGACAACAACAATTAGCACAATTGCTGTACAAGCTGGTGAAGCAAGAATTGTTTTAGCTGTTCTTCGAGTATGTTGACGTTTTCCTTAACTAGAGACTAGTTGATATAAATTCTTTAGAGCTCGGATATTGCCCAAGTCCGTATTCAACAAATGGAACCTGATCTAATGGATGTCGGTTCGAATCTTGAAGATACAATTAAACATCAAACAGTTCATGAAGAACTAATTAGTAAATTGAAAGTAATACGAATGATAATTGTACTTCCTTATGCCGTTGAAATCTTTCCTATTGACACAATGTAGGCTAAACAAGATCATATAACCGAACTGTTGACACGTGCAGATGATCTTGTCACTCAACAAAAATCTTATAATGAAGTATACGAAGCCATGGCACGTAGTCTCGGCGAAGCATGGAAAGAGCTTAATTTACAATTGGAAGGTCGAAGGAATCTTTTAAATCAAGCCATACGATATCACACAATCGCTGCTCGAGTTCGTTCGACATCTTGAATCTCTTGTCGAAAACGAACATATGATACTTTATTGTTTTTTAGTTTACTGATCGAGTAAATACAGCTCGAACATGGTTTACATCGTTAGAAAATGCTGATTTCGATAAACAGTCGATACACATGTTGTTTGATGAACATGAACTCTTTCGAAAAGAAGTCCTTGAAGCGTCGTTAGATACATTAAATGAAGGACAATTGTTATTAGAATGCGTTCGAAAATTTGGCTCATCTAATGAAGCTATTAATCAGCACTCAACAGTGGCTGCTTGTTACGAAATAGAACACTTACTTAGTTTGCATCATGATGAACGACGGCAATTCGAAGATGAATGGGAACGAAATCGAAAGATTCTAAGCGAATATATACAAATGTCCGAAACCAAACATGAAATTGATCAACTTCTGAATTGGCTACATGAACGAGGCCAAGTCTACGTCGAAAATACCGATCTTGGACGTACACTTGACGAGATCGAACGCTTACAAACTGTTCATAATGATGTAGAGAATGAATCACAAACAATTCATGATCGAGTGCTTCGTTGTATGCGAGCGGTGGACTCGTGGGTGCACACCGGTTTATCACGAGCCGACCGTTTACATGCTTATGCTCATACACTGTTGGTTTTATGGGAAAAATATGCACTTAAACTTGACAATCGTCGTCGATTATTACGCTTAGCGCATAAATTCTACGTCGATTCATCGAATGCATTTTCTGTGCTTGATACTTTCGATGCACAATTATTATCTCATTCCTCGAATCATTTACGATCAAGCGAAGAACTTTTAGAAGAATATCAACAAATGAAAGAAAAATTAATTCAATCAACTGAGATTCCACTTCGCGAAGGACATATCCTATTAGAGAAAAGTTCGAATAATAACGCAAGTACACATATGATTCGGCAGCGTGTCCATGATCTAGAGAAACGAATCGAAAATATTCGCCATCGTTTACAAGAAGAACATGAAAAATTAGATCGACAAGGCTCAACATTGTATCAAACGTTCGATAATCAATGTACAAGAATGCAATCGTGGCTGCATAATGTCGCCGAACGATTTCTCAGTTCGAATCGATTTTTAATCGATTTAAGTAATCCGTTCGATTTAACCAAACAAACGAATGATTTCTTAGAATCTCACCAACAAATTATTGAACATGACCTAAAGGTTAGACGAGTTTCTTCTTCTTCTTCTTCTTTTCTCAATGAAACCTATTAACCACAACAGATCAACAGTTGTCAATGTGTTGATGATGATCTGTCATTGTCTTTGGATACAAAAGATAATGCAACTAATGTCAACGATAATGATACTGCTGATCTCATATTAGCAATTTCGAATTGTTTGCCCATTTTGAGGAGAATAACGAGCCTAATTAGAACAAAATTATCCTGAAAACGTATAAAAAGTCGTATCATTATATACATGCACATGTATTTATGCATTGTCTAGTGCGTTTACGTAACGTATCAAGCGACTTTGTTTATCTACATCTCTACCGTTGTGTGCAGTGCGGCGGCATTTGTTTTGTTTTTCTTCGAGTGTATGACAACATCGATATGTTGATGGTGAACGTGCACTCGTTTCTCTTTGATTCAATGACATTTAGTGGAACACGGTTGTTACAGATGTTATCTAGCTAAGAAAATTCGAGTTGTTTTCCCAAGATCTGAACATATGCTGTTGTTTGATTTAATTAGTATATAGTCCGAAGAAAGATGATTTCGATTACGTAAGAGATGACAATAAAAGCATATGTTTAGGACAGGAAGAGAAAATAAATATACTGACCTCTTTATAATCGAATGAGAGATTCGACTAATGATTATTACGTGTCTAATTTACAATTCTACCAAAGCTAATCACATTAGGAATTGATAAATGAACAGTCACTTTAATGAGATTATTTATACAATAGTACACAACAAGAGCTCTGTGACTTAAAAGCTTCGATGAAGTCTAAACAAACGCTAGTCTGTCTGTTGTACAATGTTTAGGGTAGAATTGATCGTATCGAACATAGCTGTCTTTTTCAAGGCAAGCTTCTCTGCAGGAGTTATCAAAAATACGTTGCAGAATAGGAACATTTCATAATCAATGTCTCTGTAGAGTCGAGAAGAAGACATTCATCGTCTGGGAACATTGGTCCATGAATTACAAGCTAGTAATGATCGAAATTGTCAAGTGGCTCGTAAACGGTTCGATCATGTCTTTTCTCTTTGGCAAAGTCTCACGGATAAGATTGTTCGACGACATACACTCGCTCAATCATATTCAGGTTTTCGATACCAAGCTGAACAGGTTCGACTTGATTTTGACCTTTGGTTTCTCGAATAGAATTTCTTTGATTAGTTGTCCAATGGTTTAGCCAGCATCGATGATGTGATCAGCTTTCGTGATAATATCGATCTTTTACCTGAATCAGCGGTAAAACACATCGAAGAAACTTGGGCAAATCTTCGAAACAGTTATCACGAACTAATCGAGACAAGTCGAAGTCTTCGCCATGCTTTGGATACGGTAAAATCTACAATTGAAATTCTCATCTGACGTTTTTCTCGTTCTAGGAATCTGAGCACGTTGATTTGTATTCAGGTGATACCCATCGAGCTATATTCGATCAATGTGAACAAATCAATCGGAAATTCGAACAGATCACATCAAATTTTGACCTTTGGATACGAAAACTAGCGAGTCTGAAAGATTTTAAAAATCAATGGCAACAGTTCATGCATGACGCACGAAATGTATGTGAAGCTGTTCGATTCTTCACTTCGAAATCTATGCTGAATCCTTTTCTAGACCATCGAGAAATCTCACCGATTCGAATTACATTTCAATCCACCATCGATGTCTCCAAACGATCATATTGATAGATATCAACGATTACTCAGCGATTTCACCAATAGTGTTCAAGTAATTTCATTGGAGTTTGCTAATTAATATGATATGGTTTCGTAGGAGATCACTCGTGAAATTGAAGATCGTTTGAGAACAGCTGAACAACTGAATATGCGCGGTGAAACCAATGGGCAAAAAGAGCAAATTGTCAACGAACTTATCAAAGCGCAGCAACAGTATTTATCGCGTATAAACCATACTCGAACATTCTTACATTCGATGATCAACTACTACAAGAACACATCGAAAATCGAAACACAACTGATCAACAACAATCAAACTTTATCGTCCTTGCCGAATGACATTCGCAGTACAGAAGTCTTGATCCGACAATATGAAACCGAACGAGATAGAATTATGCAAACGTATGAACAATGTCGACAGGATGCACTTCAAGCTGAGAGTAAAGCTAAACAGGTTAGGAATATTCTGCATGCATGAAGAAATGCTTGGAAAAGAGAGAATGGGAAGTCAGTTGTTTTTATGCTTGTTTTAGTGTGGTCAAACGTCATTCATTAATGAGATCTATCTGAAACAAAATGAAATCGAGTCGAAATATTCGCAATGGCAACAACTATGCGAAGAAAACCGATCGAAATTGAAGCAACGCGTTGAATGGTGTCAGTTTCTCGATGATAAATATAAAGTTTGTAATCGAAGAGCGAAAATAAGAGAGAAATGAATTCTTTATTATTAAGATTGTTTACGAAATCGGTTCATTGCAACAAGAAATCGATCGACGACGGCAAAATATTCCTCAAACGTATCGAGAAGCTCTTAATCGAGCTGAAACAATGCATGAAATCACTCGACTCTACGATGTTAGTAGAAAAAATTCAAAGAAAAGAAAAGACTAACGAGCAATTTTTATTTCAGAGTTGTGAACGAGCTGTGCGAAGATTTCGTACAACGGCAGAAATTATGATTCAGCAGAAACATCCGGAATATGAGCAAGTCCTATACGAAGTTAAAGACGTCGAGAAGAAACTGTCGGTTGTTCATGTTTCGGTCGGTGATTATCGAGAACATGTCGAGAAAACCACTGCTTATTATAAACTTCTGGACGAGGTTGTCTGTTTGCGATGTTTGTTCATGTAATGAGAAGTTTTACTGTCGTTTAGATGGAGCGATGGCATCAACAATCGAGCGAATTACTAATTGAAATCGGACGAGATACGGTGTGCTGTCAAACCGTTTCTGATACGCAGAATTTACTTGAGAAAGTCTCAACTGCAATCGACCAAGGCAAAGAATACGAACAAGAAAAAATGAGATATATAAGTACATTGGCTGTCGAAGTTTTCGGTTGGTTGTTTCCTGAATTAGGAAAATCTGTTTGTTAATTGTATTTATCTAGGACCGGATGAAGGACAACATCGGATAAAACATGTGACTGCACGAAATATTGAATTAATCAATGCATTCATCAAAGTTCATCAAGATATATCAGTTGTTCAACGAAATTTCGAATATCGATCAGATTTCTTCCAGGAAACGAAAAATCCGCCTGCTTTTGTTAAGCCATTGATAGATGCAACGGTTAATCAAGGAACAAAGTAAAACTTTCAGTTTTCCCATAGAAGAAATCCTTTCAATATATTCATAGATTCACATTTGAATGTCTTATCGATGGAAACGAACCGATGACAGTAACTTGGCTGAAAAATAAGATATTTATCTCGTCGCTAACACATGATATCAAATATGAACGTGGGCTTGCAACATTAACACTCGCTGATGTACAGAGAGATGATTCGGCCTATTATACATGTCGAGCTAATAACAGCGCGGGCACTACGGAAAGTTCGGCTTATCTTATCGTTCGAAGTAATCAAAGTTAGTTAGTGGCAAATCAGATGTTGTTCAACGATGAAAAGCGACTTGAAAAAATATTCGAGAAGACGTTCAGATAACTGATGATAGTGTTAAACTTGATGAAAACACAGTGATCATTGATCTATCGACGAGTTAATCAGTCATCTTACCTAACCAGAGCATTGTTCATGTGAATAGCATATCTCGGAATGGATAGTTCAGTGGTATTCGTAATTATTTACCAAGGAAAGTCTTAAATGTATGCATGCATCGTTGCTGATAGGACATTCGAGGCGAGGTTTGACAAAGAATATAGAGATAGTCGAGAAATAGCATCGATGTTCGCCTTCTGATATCATATGACAGACAGACAGACGGTCCTATATGACAAATATTGCCATTGACGAACAGCGTGTGACATAAATAATCCCTGTTGGATTTATTTGTATTTTAAGTTATATTACAGTGGAGGGATTTTTTCAAAATAAGATGTCAGCTGTCTCGATTGTCATACTTACTGGGATGGGAAATCATATTGCTGCTCTATTTTAGGTGGGCCACTGGTCGTCCCTATTGACAATAAATTTCAGCAGCATCATGCCCCAACGTTCGTCGAACCGTTACGTTCACAAAATGCATCGGTTGGTTCAACTGTAGTTTTTGAATGTATCATCTATGGTGAACCGACTCCTCATGTTATTTGGGAACGTGATGGTGTGGAAATATGTGAAGGCGACTCTCTATCAGATTCGGTAGCTAAACATCAACTATATCATTTAACACTTCGACATGTACAAATAAGTGATACTGGAAAATACGCATGTAGAGCAAGAAACTTTAGCGGCGAGGCAACATCAGTAGCTGATCTTTGTGTTTATTCTAATCAACAACAACATGGTAAATACGAAAGAGAAACATATGCAAGAATCTATCAGAAAGTAACAGAAAAAGAAGGGGGAAACACTACTACAGGAAAAAAGAAGGAGAGATATAGAAGATACCCAATCATAGGCTTGCTGAAAAAACTGATGATGTTAGTAATGCTTACGCTTTCGTACATATAAATCGAGAAGGTCGAGAGAGGCAACGGTGGTAGTCTGCCATATTGTCTTTTTTGTCGACTGTGACAGATAAGCAAGTTGTTCGAATGGAAGATAAATGCGTTTGCCAAGTTGTATAAGCAATTTTACTCTCGTAAACGTCATAGAAAACAACGATAATTGAGACTATGTCGAAAACGCGTCGAATCAATATATGATTTCATCTGTTTTAGACTTCATTATGGTATCGGAATACGAGCCGCGTCTTACTGAACCTCTAAAAGCATCATATATCATACGAGAAGGACAACCAGTAAAGCTTNAGTTGAAAATTAATAACGATATAGTCATTGTTCATTCTAAAACACAGAAAATGACTTGTTATGTTTTCTCGCTTGCAAAGATTCACAATTGAGTCTATGTTAATCAATGATAGTTTATGTTCTATGCGAGGTTAACCTATACTTTAAGATTAACGATGTTCACATGTCAACATACTTGCTCACACACACACATATATATATACTCTCGATTGACAAATAAAAGACCTGATTTTACGTAACATTCCCGCTGTATATTCACCCTAAATATATTATTCATGCAAGTGATAACCTTGGTATTATTTGTACTGTCGTAGTTCGTTCTCAGTTGGTTCTCACCACTGAAAGATATTAGCATTTCTATGATTGTAATCGACCTGAATATACCTATTGTTTTTCATTAACAGTTCACTGAAAGTAAACCTATCTAATCGGATCGATTTCCATGAAAGTCAATAGCACGTTATTGAATCTTCTTTTTTCGGTCGCATTAGTTTTATAAAATTAAATAGAACATAGTTATTCGAGCGAAAGATTAAATTGTCACATTTCATCTCTGGAAAGAGAAAAAAGGGAGAGTTCGTGCCATAATCATCACCATTATCATCATTTCAACGTTGTTGACTAGTTCAAAACATATATCGTTATTGTGTCCCGTCCTACAGATTTCTTTCTTTTTTCGCCGGCTGTTAGGCTCATTATTTTTCTATAAAGTGGTACCGAAAGAACAATACACATACATATATATACACAATTGTCTACTCCCTTGCGTTTGATATGTCTTGAGAAGAGAGAGAGAGAGAGAGAGAGAGAGAGCGAAGAGAGACGCAATGCCATGAAATATTCTCTCTCTTGTTCTTTTTTAGCTTATGGCTGAACAGCTCAGGCACTTCGCATTTAGCTAAGTCAATAAACTCACGGTGGATACATCGGATATTTTCATTCTGTCTCTTTTTCTTCTCTCCCACCCACTTGTTCAGTTCATAAATTAGGGTTCTTTCTGTCTCTCCTCTTTTTTTTTCAAATCGTTAGTTGTTCACTGATGTGAATTTCGCTCGATTAATTATTCCGAAAGCCTACTAACGCTCTTTCACTTACAAGTACATATGTACATGTATTAAGGTGAGTGACATAGCGGCGAGACAATTTTTCGCTTCATTAGTCCTTGTTCTCCATGAAATCTGAATCAAATGTATCCCTCGATTGACATACGTATACACGACATAACGCACACGCATACAGTTACGCACAAATTATTTGTTCATTACACTGTTACTTCTCCATTGCTCTTACATAATCATAAAAAAAAACCGAGAGAGACTATCATCATCTAGATATGTTCTTTTCTTTCAGACATTTATATCTTGCTTTTCTTTCATCCACAATAGATTCATTTATCTGCATCTTCCAGCAAAACTCGAAAAGAATAAAACCTAGAAAACGCTTTTATATAAACATACACATGATCGGATGATAACGATCATGGTGATGATCTGTGCGTTCGACACCTTCCTGCCACTGGTGAAGTTCAACAATGAAATCTACTCGTCGATGCCGACTATAGGTGAGATAGAAGGAGAAGGAGAAAGAGAAGAACTTGACATTTGTTTAATCAAATAACAACTGCATTTTGACACCGTACGATTAGAATATGAAAAAAATAAATAGATGCGAAAAGGCAAAAGGAATAGTAAGAGATGAGATAGAGCGTGTGAGACAATTGTAAGTGTGAACCTGAATGGGCGGAAACGGATTAACTACTTTCGTTTCATTTATTTAGATATATGTTGACATGTGAACATCGTTAATCTTAAAGTATAGGTTAACCTCGCATAGAACATAAACTATCATTGATTAACATAGACTCAATTGTGAATCTTTGCAAGCGAGAAAACATAACAAGTCATTTTCTGTGTTTTAGAATGAACAATGACTATATCGTTATTAATTTTCAACTTTCTACCACCTTAATGACCATTCTATTCATCTCGTCCATTATACCAATAAGTTCAACACTTTTGCCAACAACAATTCGTCCTATATATCCATGTCATTATAAAGATCTCAATCAGCGCATATATAAATGTGACATGTGTACATGTCTCTCATCACCTCCAATGTTTTCATCATCCAATCTTTGTTCGTCGTTATTCTCGACGCCGTTGCTGGCAAATATTTGTTCAGATAATGCGACAAAACGTCTCACTGAAGACATTCTTCGCGTCAGACTCGACGAAATCGAATCGGAAAATGTTCATCAGTTTCGAACATCATTCTCTCATTTAACGAAGAAAACTTTCGACGAACATGAATACGAATTTGATCATTTCAATAATGATCTCATGCAAAATCTCGTCAATTTCGAGCAATTTTGTTCTTCATTGAATCAATCTCGTGTAACATTCTACCGTTTACAATCGAACACGTCGCTTCATCAATGTCAATTAAGTCTTCTCTCTTTACGTTTTCTCGATACAATTATCGAAACGAATCAGTTCATTCTCCAAGTCAAACCGGAAACATTGATTTTTTATAATACAACATTCAATATTAATTCACTGAATTTAACAAGTACAACAACATTTCTAGCGTTTTATTTTGTGAAATTTTCTTCAAAACAATTTCTATTGAATTCACTTTCTTCGCTCATACATTTGACCATCACCCACACAACACATTTCGATTTGATTGGTTCATATCCAAATTTAGTTTATCTTGATCTCTGTCATACACAATTAGATGATCTGCAATTGAATAGATTATTCTCTCAAATTGAAATACCTGATTTAGTCACGTTGATTCTCTCGAACAACCAAATCAGCATCCTAAAAACGAAATTTCCATCAACGCTACGCTATTTGGACTTATCAAACAATCTGATCAAAGCATTGGATTACACATCATTCAAATCGTTGTATTCATTAAATACATTAAATTTAAGTTATAATTCACCATTAGATATTCAACAGGACACATTCACACGTATACCGTATTTAGAAATACTTGATTTAACAGCTTCATACCCTTCATTACCATTCGATGATTTATTTCTCCCATTACAAAAACTTCGTTATTTAAATATTTCATCAAACAATTTGAATTTATTACCTCGTCTTCCCGTCCCATATGATGCGCATACAATAGCTAGTTATGATCATCATTTACCTGTGTTATACGTGGATATGTCGCTGAATAATATCAATCAAATCGACTTCGATATCTTTTCATCAGCGTCAACGCAAGATAAATATATCATTTCACTTGATTTATCTTCCAATCAACTCAAGACTCTACAATTACCATTAACAGGAATTAAACGACGTGGCCCATTGATTGAATTGAATATCAACAACAATCCATTGGAATGCGATTGTGTTCTACATGAGAATATCTCTCCTCTATTACAAAGCGATGTTCCAACATCTCAACCAACAACGTTTCAATGTAAGTCAAATTATCTGTTATTGTTTGATCTAATGAAAAGCAAATGTTTTTCTTTATTCGGGAAAAAGTCGAAGATTTTCTTTTTTGATCAGGCCAGCTGTTCTAATTTTCTTTGTGACCTATCAATGACAACATGCCTTGCATATAGATTGCATGATTAACTTCAGCCGACTAGCGAAGTCAATTGTTCTCTGTCATTTGTCTTTGCCCTAATTATCCTCCATCCTTGTGTGTATGATGTTCAGAGGAAGTTAATTGATATACTGATAAGTTACTCGTTTCTATTAACTTTTAACTTTCAATTACATCACTCCGATCTGTCAGAGAGACGACTGCGAAAACACAAAGGTTAATATACATCCAGGATGACGAAGAAAAATATTACAACGTTAAACAAGAAAAGTAATCGGAAGAATATAAACAATGAAATAATCATTTATTGATAGTTATCGATCTCGTAAGACTAGAAAAGCAATTATAACTTCATTAGGCATCAATATTGCGTGAGAAATATGTTTACTATTAGAGAATGTATCAAGAATCCATCGAGCGTAGAAAATGGATTTAAAGTGAAGTTTACTTCGGTTTTTCTTTAGTACCTCCAGCATTTCAACCGACTTCACAACAATTTTCACCTGCACTTTATCCTTCGCAATACATACCGCCAGATATCTTCTCTCAAACACGAAATCCCACGAATTACCTACACAAACGTCGTCGTCGTCGTCAACAATTGTTTCTCGAAAATGCTCCACCAACTGCTTCAATACTTTCACAAAACCTTGTTAAACAAGCTCGTATAAAACTTTTACATTTATCTAATTTAACGTGTCAAGATATGATTGAATCGACAATTCATCGCTCATTATTCGATCTGAATTCTTCAAATAGTTTTTGTTCCTATGTAAAATCCTGTCCATCGACTTGCTCCTGCTGTTCATCATTGATGTCACCATTCGAAATGAATAACTGTGAATGTTATTATCAATGTCCCATGGAATGTACATGTAAACATTCATTCGATTCAACGAAGAACTATGTAAATTGCTCTAATCGATATTTAAGTAAAATTCCATCGAGTATTCCACTATCGACAACACATTTGAATTTGAATCACAATCAAATCAAGTCTTTGGAAAAGAATTTAACACACTTGACTAAACTACAATATTTACTTTTATCAAACAATCATCTTGAACAGTTATCCAGTGAAGAATTTTCCACTTTAAACAAGATGGAACATCTGGATCTATCTTCAAATCAGTTAAAAACCATTCATTCGCGAACATTCTCAACCTTATTCAATCTTCGTTATCTTTTCCTTCATAATAATCCATGGATACCGAAGTTTTACGATAATAACGGCGAATTTCAATCAAATATACGTTTGAAATCATTAACCTACGGCAAAGGTTTCGCTTGTAATCGATCAATTTTAGCATCGAGTTTTAACATTGAAACGCCATTGACAGCCAACGATTGTTGTCAACATTCGAACAGTGAATCTTGTCAAAAAAGCTTGAATATCAATAATCAGCATTTACAATCTGAAGAAGAACAATCATTGTATGATTACACTCCAAATTCGAGACGAATTTTACAATTAGTATTCCATGAGAAGTATCGTATTTATATTTTAATTGGTATTAGTATATTTATATTGATTATTGTTTGTGTCGTTATACTATGTGTTCTACTTTGTCTTTGTCAACGGAAAAAACGTTCGAAACATCCGTCGCCTGCCGAAAGAAAACTTCTATCGAATGGTGATTTGAAGAAAACATCTAATCATTACCAGAAAACATTACAGTCATCTACATCAACAACACCACCACAAATATCGTCATCGTCATCAACAACAGCAATACAAAAATTACTTCATTCAACTAGACAAAAAAGTATGGTTTCGCTTTTTGCGAGAAAAAAAAATCAAGACATTATCGCATGTTTCTTTAGGCTTAAGTTCAATCACAGCATATAAACAACAAGAAAACGATGTGTCTATATCCTATTCGGATAATGATGAAGAAGATGATTATGCCTCTATACCTTTAACAGTTTCTCAAACAGAATTGTCATCTGTTATTCGTCCACAACCGGCGGTACCACCACTTCCTCCACCTCGTCAAACACAACAACAGCAACAACAACAACAACAACAACAACGTTTGTTATCCAATCGGCCTATCTCTCATTCGTCAACGGTCTCCACATCCACTACAATTCGATCGATTGTCCCCATGTTAAAACGAACGAACTCTTCCGGATCCAAACAAGCTGCACCCACCTTACAACCTACGCGTTCCTGTTTGCAAATCAAACTCGACGCTCTCGTCTTATACTCAATCAATGATAGCGAATTAGTTCATGGAAATATAGGCGAAATTCTCGAAGATATATATGGCAAACGCTTTAGCTTCTATTTTATACATCGCGATCGCATGCTAGGTGAATTAGATTGGCTAATTGAAAATTCTTGTGTAACAATTATCATTTTACGTAAACCGTATCATATCATACATGATTACATGAAAATTCTCTCGACATGTTCGTCAATAAAGATCTTTCTTATCCTTGTGAATGATGATCCGTACAATCATCAATCATCATCATCAATGAAAGCACGTGAAAAGATTGCCAAATTATACCACACATCCAATATCTATGAATGGAATTCTAACCCGTCGGCACTTATTCATGAACAATTAGAACTCTTTCTTGAACAAAATTGTGGTTCAGCAACATATGTACCATACTAACTTCAACATCGATCTATGCAGCGAATAAGAAAGACAGAATATCCCTTATCGTCATATTTCTCCTTTTGCTTCTTGTTTTTTTTTGTTACATGTTCAACCCGGTGACACTCTTCTTGTTGTTGCTATTGTTGTTGTCTTATACCTCTTCTTATTCGTATGTGCTCGTATGGATGTGTGTGTGTGTATATATATATCAATATATATGTGTGCGTTTTCAAAATACATATGTGAATGATATCCAATAGAACATGGGAGAGTAGTAGAATAATAAAGCTATTATTATTAAATCAATAAATGTCGACCAGATAAAAAAGAAAACAAATGTGTAGTAACCTTCTGACTTAGCCGGGTGGTGCACACAGTAGAAAGATTTATCGATGCAATTATGAACAGTAGGGGAAAGTTTCACGAGCAAATACTTGAAAAAGAAGGCAATGACATAGTATCCAGATGTCTTTCTTAGGGATAATGACCAGTTGTGTTCTCAATGTGAATCAATTCAAACTTGATTTCATCGAAAGTAATACTTTGCTTTTGGGTGTTGACCACGTCGAAATGGTATTTCTTTTGTCAATAATTGCATGTAGAACTTCAACTTGTCACTTGTTAATATATGCAATAAAAATCTCTCAATCTTGAAAAGAATTGCTTTTTTTTTGTTTCATCAGTCTCGTTAATAGATATCAAGACATATAACACTTAGTAAATACTTGAGTATAATGATAGACTCGAGAATATGTATTTGATTTCTGCATTCATCTGCGCATAACTCACTTCTTGCATTATTAAACAGCGAAAGTAAACGACAATTGAAATAAACTGTCGGCGTGTCCAATTCCGATTCCTTTTTTTTACTTATCGAGACGAAAAACGCAGAGAATTTTGATTTGATTCTCCACTTCTTTCTTTCCTGGCGTTTGTTTTTTCACAAAACTTGTTTATTCATTTATTTCGAAAGCAAACATCCATAGAGACGGACAACGATGAATGAAATTCGACAATTATGCACGTCATCACTGTCACCAACCGAACATTTGGACGAAATTCTCGCGCTTTTTCACGCATGTCCACCTCAGTATCTACTTCCATCACTGTCTCTCATCGGACAATCGATCTCCTGCATGCCTATCGAAGAATTAAACATCGATATAATTAATCATCAATTGTTTCTCGTTATCCGACAATGGTCCGAACGTTTATTACAATCATGGCTGGTTAATTATATGATCAATGGCGAAGAACATCGAGCATTGTTCTACATGCACCAATTATTTAAATTATTATCGGAATGGTTAAGTCAACAAGAACATTTACTTAACGACCATGAAAAACAAGAAATATTTCAACGTGTCTTAACACATTTGTTTATCGAGAAGAGCTTTTTAAAGACAATGTGTCAAGTGATATATCACCTGATTACGAATGAAAGTAATGAACAACATGGTTCAGTTGTAAGTCAGTCAACGGTAAGTAACAGCAGTGAAGAACTGAGAGACAGAGAGAAAATCCAGTGCATTATTTTTATGTTAAGTACTTTGTAAGGAATCAGTTAAAAAGCAAAGTAATGTTGAGGTATCAATCGAAAATGAAAGAGTATTCTGTTGTTGTACAAAAAGGATTGAAAGAATAAAAATGGATTGATCATGTGAATCAAATGAGTGATGAAGATCTCTCTGAAAAGTTTCTTTCTCTTTGTGATTCGAAGGAAAACGAAGGTCAAGTGTCTCCAGATGATATTCAACTACAAACAACATCCGATGATCAAGTAAATCCAACTGATATTCTCGATGTTCTTTACCGGTGTGTAAATTCATTAGTTATTCTATTTAATCATCCCATATTATCGTCGAGTGCTGTCGTAAAGGATCATTTAACAACATGTCTTATTGATTGTTTAAAATTTCCAATATTTATTCAATTATCCGTGGATTTCTTACGCTATACATCATTAAATGAAAAGATTCCCATTCGATCGATTTTTCTGCTATTTACTTGCTTAGATTATTGCACTCTCTCAATTACAACCTCGACATTGACTCTGATACCACCAATACGAAATATTCTTCATATTTGGTGTGAACTTCCTCAGAATCCAGCCGAAGATCTATCGCCATTAATCATTCGACTTATTCGCCTCATTGATCGTCTCGCATCGACATATCCTGAGACAATTGTCGATGCCAATCTTTGTGCTTTCTTCGTTCCACATTTCGAAATTTTATGTTCAACGCCAGGCGTTATTGATGATATCATTTCCCTCTTAGTGACATTGTCATTAACTATCAATGGTAAACGACATTTACGTCGTTTGGGATATATTCAACATATTTTACGAACGATTAAACGTCCGCCACACAAATTTTGGTATCCATTATCGTTACTATTAACTCAACGTGATTTCTATCAATCGTCCTTTTTTAAACGCTTGATACATTTGTTAGCACAACGAACTATTAAAATTCTTCAATTATTAAGCAATACTCATAATGACACATCCTATGATTCGACTACATCATCCTCACGGGATCAAATTTATCTAAATGCCTTGGATTGGTTTAGTTTATTACGTACACATTTTCTTTCATTTACCATGATTGTTGATGAATTGATAACTTATACGAAAAAAGTCAATCTGATTTCTATGATTATCGACACAATTCTCTCTATCGTACAAGATGATGATGATTCGTTAGCTTTAATCGAAATTATGACCGAACTACTATGGACATTTTCATTCAGTACGTCGACAGATATTCACGATGTTTTACAAAAACGTCTGGATCTATGTCGGTGGTTAACGACAAATTTAAATACATCCACATCGAGTACCCACATTGCTTCTCAAGCAATTCTGTCATTACTAGACTCAGGCTATCAAAGTTTAAGTAATCGAATTGTTTTACTAATGATTTTGACTTCGAAATCCTTTCTCTTCTCTACTCTAGATCGAACGATATCCAATCATGGTCTATCATTGACAACGAACACTGCGATATGCATCATTTATTCCGATGAATCCTATCACGATGTTTGTGTCACATTTCGTGATCGTCTTCAGACAGAATTTCAGTATTCATTCGAACTGGTTCTTACAACCACCTGTCAATCACTTGATACATTGATTAATTCGATTGACCAATCGGTACTCTGTCTGTTTTGTGCAAGTACAAGAATGAAAATTGACAATTTAGCACATTTTGCTTTTCAATATATTTCCTTTCAACCTTATTCGATTCCTATATTGACAATTCAAATCGAACAACAATGCGATCTCGAAGGCAGTTGGCTTGAACCACTGATAATTATTGATACACATTCAATTCTCAAAGAAATTCGACGACTTTTGCATCAAACAAGCGACTCCAATTCACCTGTATTAAATCAAACCAATGATCAACTGAGTCTCGATCGTTCGAGTCAAATTCCAAATCAATCCTACCATTACATGTCATGTCCAGTACTCGATTGGTCTTCAGATGATGTCAATGAATGGTGCAATACGACCAAAGGCAACTTTGATACATTAAAACCTTTAGTAAAACGTCTCAACGGTTCTGCACTTATTCACCTTGCGGAAATCTTATCCATGGAACCAGCATCGATGTATTTTAGTTTAAACGACGAGCTTCGTCAACGTACAGGTTCAACCGTTCCAGTTACCGAATATGTTTCCTTACAAAGTGAACTACAAAGCTTATGCAAACAAAATCAAAGTCATATAACTAGATCCAACACTCCAGAAAATACCAAAGACGATGATAAACTAAGAAAACGAAGTCGCCTTTGTACTATACTCTAATTCATGTGTTTCTGTTAGTGTAGATTAGTGATTTGGTTGACAACGGATGTCAGATAGAGTTTGAAAAGAGGAAAAAACCCACATATTCCTAGATTGTAGAATAAATTTCACATGATTAAATAAAACATTCGAAAACAATTCATACATACACCAGTAGAACATCGAATATCTACTTTGATATTGCATATCTTATTATCACTCATACGCATAATATCAACATATCGAAGGCATTATCTCAAGATCTATGGATATCTAACTAAATTAGATGTACAGTCCGATGAAATAAACGAGAAACAACACATTAGTGCAACACAAGTCAATCAACTCAAAATATTTATGTTTCCACGAACGTAAATCTCTGAGGTAGTTATATAATTCCAAATTGGCTAAACAAGAAGTATTCTCATGAGAAATTCCTTGTGCTATCAACGATACAAAGTACTAGTAGTAGCATTTACTCGCGTTGCACTTCCTGACAATTTTTCTCGTCGATTGTGACGAGATGTATATCTCTACTTGTATTTTCTTAACAGATAAACATATATGTCTTATCAAAGTACGAGTTGTTTTTCTTCATAGATATATACAGAAAAAAAAAGAAGTTCTTCCTTTAATCGGATAATAATATTATAGTCGTCAACATTACATAGTGAAGACTAAATCTTGACCTTTTATTAACAAGACAAACAGTCTGCTTGCTGTTGACATTAGAAATATTTTATAATATTGTCGTAATCTTGGAACCTTGATGTGTTATTTCCCTCTAATTTTATCTGAACGGAAATCAGATTCTTTCATTAAACAAATGATACTCGAGGAAAGCTCGACAAGCTAAAATAGAACTAATTATACGAAACTTTTTTGTTTGAGTATGTTAATAACAAAAGCTATGAACTAGAGATACAACTCTAGCAGACGATGGATGGCGTCGTAATTAATCTCGAATGGCAAATGCTTCCCACCGTTTGAGCTTCTCATCAGAATGGATCAAAACGAGACTTTATAATGTCAATCAAGCGTGATTTTCGATTTCAGACTTCCGAGCTGATTGAATTCTATTCAGCAGCTGTAGAACGTTATTTGATCATTATTCAAATCGGTGACCTTAGGCCATAATAATATTTTGTACCAGAAGGGAAAAACTCCAAGCGGATCGACTTATATTTCAGAGTAATAAAATGACACACTAATTGATCGGCTT